ATTCGTATCGCCCGAGTACGGAAAACAAAACCAAAAGAGAACACGTGTACAATTATTATTACCATCGCTATGGATTGCGGTGCCCGGTAGTCGCCGCCGAAGACACGGTAGCCGACGTGTGCTCGCCTCGGTCGTCATCGTTGACGGCGGCGGTGGGTCGTGGCAGGCAACAGCAACAGCAGCAGCACCAACAGCCACCGATGGAATGCGACGGTGGCAATAAATAACCCCCCAGTTGGCACCCCTGTCACGGTGTGTGGCCCCGAGCCCGCGCCCACAGCGCACACGACTTATTAACCATTCCGAAAATGACCGCTCGGAGAGACTTTAACACGCGCGAATATTATTATTTTATTATTATTATTATTACTATACGGCGCGACAAAATCCAAAAGGCAATACTTCCACAAGAAAAAAACCGGTTCATTCATATTGTAATATTTATATTTTGTGTGTATTGTATATAATATAACACACACACACACACACACACTCGCTTACTTACTTACAAACACGCCTATTGTGTACGCGGGTGTTAATAATATACACGACAACAAACGACGGTGGCGGTGGCGACCGTGGATAGGCAATAACGATAATAATTTCGGGTTTTTTTTTTTTTGTTGTTTAGTACCCTTTCCTCTTGTCCTATAGCGTCTTTGGCCGTTTCCAAGGAACCCCCGGAGAGACCGTATCCGGAAAACTCCACACAACACTACTGCATTCCATTCATGGCGGTCGCCAGAACGGTTTTTGTTTCAAACGCTATACGGCTACACAACAGCAGCTAGCACAAGGTATGCTTTTTGGGAGAGAGGCGAGGCCAATACCATTTGTTACCACACACTATAACAACATGGCACACACACACTCAATAGGAGGGTTGGCATGTCTCATTATCGTATCAGAAACGTGTTATTTTTTAGAAATACATAATATTAGTTAGTCACTACCGTTTTATTTGTTGACAATCGAATGTTTTCTGCACAGCTGCATCAACCCGGGACGGCTAGCTCCTCAACGAGGGTTACAAATACAATTTTTAAGCATTTATTTTCATGGAATTTGGAAAAGTAATACCGAGCAGGAGCCGTGCTAGCCGAGTCGGGTGGAATCTAAGGTTTAGAAGTTTTTAGAGAGCCAAACAGGAGAACGCCTAGGTATTAACTGTACGCAGTTACATTAGCGTCGGGGCAAAGAGCAAAAAAAAAAAACCGTAATCGTGTTATTGCAAAGGAAACGTGGACTGAATTATATTTTAATAACACTGGGCAAAAAAAAAAAAACATTTTGGTTCAGGTCGTTTGGCTTACGCCGCTCTCTCGGATATCTTCCAAGAACTATTGTAATTATTATTTCATTCGGTTCGGATCTTTTTCTTTTTCTTTCTCGACTTAAGTAGATTTGTGTGTGTATGTGCACCGCCGTTGACGTCGGATGTTTTGCACGTCGTTAAAAAATAAAATAAAAAAGTGACGACAAACCCGACGGTGACGTCCAACTTCATCGTGTATGTGTATGTGTTTGACGGTTAAAAAACGTTCTGCCTTTCGGCCATTCATTCCAATTATTATTATTATTAACAGACTAGCTAAGAAGAGTTTGACGTTGGTGTCATATTATAGTCATCTCGTTTGTAGGTGGCCTACAGCGCCCACACTATTACAAGGATAAAACAAGTTGGGTACAAGGAAATGGAGAAAAGGCCAAAATTCATTTGACTCGGTAAACACACTATTAGTCTCGACCGTTACATCATTGAGCACATAAGCTTCCATATCTAGCTCGAAGGCAGGAAAAAATTATGTGTAAAATTACTGAGACACTTTTAGAAGGGTGCATACTAGACTCAATTGTTAAGGAAATAAATGGTGAATGCAATATACTGCAAATTTCTAACCAATCTGATCTTAGTATATTCATCGATTTCAATCATACGACGTTACCATTTGAAAAGCTTAAGTTCAAAAGGGTTTAACGCGTTAGGAACAAGTCTCAGGGAAGTTTTAGCTAAAAAAAAAAAAATAAATAATTAAAATATAATAATTTCCATGACGGTGACTGGGTTGAATGGGTTGAAATAAATTGTTTTCTTTCACTCGACTACTAACGTCACGGTTAGCGTCTGTGTCGTTTAAAGTGGGTTTCACAGACCTAATAATAACGCGATAATATATAATGATGTTCAAGACAATATGTATTATATATATTTATATATATATACACTGAAGTCGGCGCCGGACAAGGGGTGTAGCGTGCAGTTAATAGGTTTCAGTCGAGTGTCACATCCGACTAGCTGTGGTGGTACCGCAAAAAAAAAAAAAAAAAACAACGACGTCGTCCTAAGACAATAATCGCGTTGTCTTCGAAAAACACAATAATAATATTATTATTATTATTATACTTTGAACTCCCAAAACCGTGTACAGAGTATAAATAACTCAATATCGAGTTTACGACCGCAGACGCTGCAGGTGACGTCAGGTGTGGTTCCTTTTTATTTTCCAGCCCGCCCACACTAAGCGTTAAAAAACCGTAAGAAAACGCCACCTAAGACACCTAAGGAAATCGTTCGATCATTGCAATAGTATTATTTTGGAGACTGTGTATAAGAAAAAGAAAAAATCATGTTACATAAATATTATGTATCATATTTTGCAGCGTAACGGCACCACCGCCAAACGGTAGTTTATAATAGGTAGCGTTGACATGGCAAAAAAAAAAGTAAAGAAAAGAAACCTCACGGTACAATCAAAAGGCGCAAGAAGAAGTGTTGCTGTAACCCATTGGGGATTTGCGTTTGAAAGCAACAGCAATACCATCGCGCGTTCCATGTACACAGATCAATCATGATCATCAAACACAAACACACACAGACAAACCGTACTAAAGAAATTGTTGCAATGAAATTATGCCGAAGTCGACTTATTACCTAATAGAATTTTTTCCACAACAGTGTCCAAACCGGTATTCATTCGAAACTCGCTTTACTAAGTCCACAAGCGGTCGTCGAATCTCTGTTTTGTATTTTATCTTTTTGAAAACATCATTGTACTATATTTTTGACAATTAAGAACAATTGCTGAACATTTTGACTACCTAGTCCGATAGCCAGTTATGAATAGTAAACTTTAGTAACCCAAACTCAAACCAGTCAAAGTTTTTTTTAGCAAATTTGTCTCGGTTTAATTGACACTCGCCTTACACTCCCAACTGCACGGGGTCGTCCACCCTAGTCCTGCACATCCATATTATCTTTTGGAATCATTTTTGCACCGTTAAACGAGAAGAAGCCCTAGACTGTGTGCGTACAGTACTAAAACAAATAGCGTGCAACCGAACGAAGGTGGCGGATGCGCACCGCGATTGTCTTACCCACGTTCTTAGCACGGCAAGACGTGGAATAATTTTCCCGTCAAAGTACACACAAGAACACGGTTTCTTCACGGTTTTTGAGCGTTTCCCTTTTACAGTCGATCAACGACAACCGGCGGTCGGCCCGACTGTGTGCCTAACCCGGTCAGAATGTTGTAAATGTAACAATAAACGACACACGGTCCATCCTTGTCGTCGGAGACACAAAGCGCATCAACCCGGACACCACCACGTGTTGCGTGCTGCACTGTGTGTGTGTGTGTGTGTAGCTATTAACAGCTATCATAGTCCTCGGCACTACTTGTGTTTTTAATTGGAGTAAATCGGCTCTGACGACGGTAATAGGGCCACTGTAACGATATGTGCTTGCAAGCACACGAGGAATGTGTCCCGCCGAAGAGGCCGACCGTGACGAGCAAGCGATCGTAAACGCTTCGCCGCCGAGATTAAATGGCTAAACCGTTTTTCACTTAAAAAAAAAAAAAAATCCAAACCGATGCCAAGAAAACAATAAGGCGATTGCCAATTCCCGCAGTCATTTTTCATTTAATTACCGCTATTTATACGCTGTGAACACACACATACACATTTACAGCCGCGAGAAAAAATAAAAAATAATACCTTCGCACCTCCGCGCCGACTTTGAAGCCAAAACTAGATTTATCTCTTTTTTTTTCTTTTTGTAAACGCCCTCACAAATCATCATAACAATATAAATCGTCGGTTCTCGCGTAGCGTGAGCCCGGCACGTCGACGGTGTCACATGCGAGATAATAATATTTTATTCGAAATATATCAATTTTGCACTGGTTTTTTTTTTGTCTCCCAAAAAACCAAAGCCGCATATTTTTGCTAAAAAAAAAAAAACTCTACGAATAACGACGTCGCCTATCCACGTCGGACCGGACAGGAACCGCGTGCACTCCGGTGTAGGTTGAATTGCCTACACGCTAACCCGACCTAACGATAAATCACCCTTTTTTCACCCCCCCCCCCCGGTGGCAAAAGTTTCAAAAAGATATATCAAAATATGCTTTGATGCGTAGCCGACGATAAACTCGACATTTCCGGACCACAGACAGTGTAGTCGATAGATATAAAAACATTTATGCTAAGCTAAAATTTGTGAAAATACCTAGTTTTTTTATGTTTCTACCCAATACAACCGAAATATATAGTATTTGTATAGTGTTTTAAAATTTCTGAGATCATAGAAAAAGTCTGATTTTCTAAAATTTGTGTCGTTTTCGCATTAAACGACCCTTGTACAATTCATAAGCCAAAAAATGTAGAGTTCAAATAAATGCAAAGATCATACAAACTGACCAATTCAAGTGTTCAACTCCTTTTTTGTTTTTGGCAACAAACGCCAATCATTAATAAAATATAAATGAACAACAGCTATGTTGATTGATTGGTATTAAAACTACTGACCCCCATTTATGGCCAAGCCTCGCAAAATGCAATTACTGATTATTCTAATTTGCTTTTGTTTAGATTGACCCGAGGTACTTTTAAGACTATTTTTCTGCCGTTTGGGCTGTATGATCTATTCGCCGATCAATGCATCTTCTCGAGTGGTTTAATTTTCTTATATATTTTTTATCAGTTATGTGGGTACTCACCAGTTGGTTTTGGTAAGCCGTGACGGCCGTGAAAGTGGTCTCGGGGTACACAAACGTTTTGTACTCTTCGGCCTCGAGATCGGTGACCGTTTGGCCAGCTGACAAATCGCTTCTCTTCACCAAGTGTATGCGTGGCTGATACTTGTGCATGGAGTTCAACACCAACTGTGCAAACCAAACAATCAATATTATGCTTAATATTTAAATGGTCCACGACGGTTATAATATAGTATTTGACTTTATTTGGCGGTTAATCCCCGCCGTTTTTTGAATATCATTATAAATATTATATGCGAAAATCCTCAGCCATATCGTTTGGAAATGTACTGTTGGCCCGAAACCGTACCCCGTGTATAATTTCTTAAACAATAGGATTATTTAAAAACGTTTTGTTTGTTTATCAATCAAATAAAAAATAAAAGGGTGACTCGCCCTGTCCCTCGGCGAGGCTAATTTCTCCCCGCAGGCCGGCTATTCTGTTTTTGTTTATTTTATATTGTGTACAACAATATGCCGCCGACATATGTGATTTAAACGAATCATAATAAAAACGCAATAATAATATTTTAATCGCGACTTTGGTGGCTTGTCTGTCCGCACAGCTGGTGCACCCAATATAAAACGCTGAAGTCATCGTTAAGTCCACACATGATAGGGTTCGCCCGACTAATCCCCGGGTATAATCGCCAAGTTTAAACAAATATATATAATTATAATAACAACAATTATTAAAAAACTATTTTTAATTTAGGTTTTGATAGTGAATCTTAATCAGTCCATAAGCGTGTGTCACCCGAGCTGAAAGACAATGCGTATACCAGTACATAAGATAACAAACAATTATCTTTGGCTCAAGACATACGTCTCTTATTTCTGAGCACTTGTCCATGTTGAAAATACTTGAAATACTCACGTGGCCGTGCTTGTCCATCTCGTTGTTGGTGAGTTTGACTTTCTCGAAGGACACGACCTGTTTGCGGAGTTGATCGCCGGTGAAAGGAGAGTCGGGGTGTGTGTACAGCCGGTGTGGGGCCGGAGGGTCCGCCTTGCCTGCCACTAGCCACGAAGACCTGTGGTAAGCGTACCTGTATCTCTTGTTATCCACCGGCACTATGTCCATAAGCACCGAGTACTTTTGGTCCATCCTGAGTCCGGTGAACGACACTCGTACCGTAGGAAACATTCTCCTGTAAAAAAAAAAAAGACCCTGTCAATACAAGCTGATTCATTAAGGATAACACACCCATTCTCTCTTAAAATAATTGCATTTTTTCTTAAGTTATTGGTACCTTTTTTTTAGTATTTTCCAGAGCATCGACTAGACAAAATTACCGGCAAACTTTCTTAATTTAAAAAGGTTAAATGTTTATTTGAGACGGTGAGCTGGAGTGGGCTTACGCACAAAAATTAAAAAAAATTGAGATAATAGTACTATTTTATTTAGAACTGAAAACAATTCAATGCAACCGTGGCTTTTTTTATTTATACTAGATGGCAGGACTTTGAAAAAATTTAATTGCTCCTAGTACGGTGTAAAAAATAAAAAAACCTTTCAAGTGATTTTACTTCCATTTTGTTTTTTTTTTTGGTTTAACTTGTTTTACTAATTAAGTTTTAAAAGCTAATAAAAAAAAGCAGTCTTAATATTGTAAAATAACATAAACAAGTATACAAAGAAAAACTGTAATTGTTTAAAAGGAAACGAGTGTGACCATTCGGTAACTAGTTGTTGTAACTGATTTTAATCGACTCCGATTGGCTGGATAAAAATCAACGATTTATGAGAGCTGGGGATGGGGGGGGGGAATTATCATAAGCATATCTGAAATATTATCAAGTAGCCGCCGTTTGAATATTTTATTTTTCTGATAAAAAATGGCCGAGAATTTCCGGTATGTATTTCCTGTAATGTAACGGACGCAACGCATTGAACGACTACACTAAGAACGTCTGTCTTTGAAGGATACGGCGGCCGTCTAGATGAATAAATTGTGGCTTTTGATGTTGGTTATTTGCCCAGATATATATATATGTATATACAATATACATACCTTATACACCTCGGTATACCCGGAAAGGGTCGAAAGGCAAAACCGTTTCACGATATCGCCGTCCCTAAACGGGTTTTTCGCCGAAACCTAACCGGACGCGGTGGGCGAAGTCAACGGGCAAAGGAATTAAGTCTGAAATTACACTTGAAAGCGTCACGCGGGCTTTTGACCTGTCAGAACGCTTTTTGCCCTCCGACTTGACGTTCACCTTTGCGCATAATAATATTCAAATATACTAATTATAATAAATCCCTTCCTGGCCGACGCCGCGGGGGATCCGGTTTCTAATTTATAACAAAAAAAAAAAAACAACCGAAACGGTAGTGGTTTTTATTTTTACATTTTGAGCTAATGAATTTATTCCAGAGTGCTTGTTTCGTGGCACGTGGGTCCTTAAAAATAATAACCTGTGGTTTTTTTTTCTTTACCCGGTAATTCGTTTAGATTAATCATGGCAGGGGATTGTGTTACGAACAAAAGTGAATGAAATTATTAAAAAAAAAAATACCATTAACGTCGGGCACGCATTTACTAAAAACTCAAAAGTCAGATGGTGTGTTTTACTCATGGTTGATTACCGTAAATTGTATTATATTATATTTGATTTTATTGACTAGAAATTAATTAAAAATTGTTTACATTTTATCGTCGATTTTTGGTTTCATCCAAAATTCAAGTTAACTTTTTAACATTTGACATTAAAATATAATATTGCATCCAAGCCAAGCCTTGTCATTCTAGTCATTCATGTTGTTGGCAAGAGAAGCGGAAACCCATGGGGGATTTCTTCAAAGAAGGATTTACACCTAAGCTAACCTAACCATTTAAAGGTGATGAACTGTGACTGTGCCTTAGCAGATGTCCAATTAGCATTATTTTTCTTTTCATTATAGCACCCGTCATTGTTCTTCTTTCGTTAACTCGAGAGTTCAGAACTGCTTCATTCGTTTTATGTTCCATCCAACTTGTTCATGTCATTCTCCTCCACGGCCATAATATCTCAATCGCTCCCAGTCTCGTATCTCTCTCATACCTTCCTATCGTCCATGTTTCACAAACTACACTCAGATGTTTATTTTGTAAGAAGTGCCGTTTTTTTCTCGGATGCTTGTTTCGTAGCATGCATTTGTTATGACTTTGGTAATAACCATAGCTTTACTTTTTTTTTTTATTAAATCTTTAGTTTAAACTTGCCCAGAGATATAATAGCCTAATATTCTTCCTCTACACTACTGCAATAATCAGGTGAAACAAACACTGCAGTTGTGTAAATCAATGACTCGGTCGGTCAAGCCTCGTGTGCGTCAGGGTGCAAATTGTTTAAAACCAACGAAAACCTATCTTGATCTGGTTTTTTTTTTCTTTCTGAATGTTGCCCGTTTCTGGTTTACACTTTTGTGCGCCCACCAACACCGTGTGTGTGCACAGCGTCCCGCTGTTTTTCCGAAATCGGTACTGTCCGGAGTGATATTATTATCGTCCGTTTTTTTGTGTTACTATAATAATAATAATATTATTTTTCAAGTGGTGTGTTGCGCTGCTACAAACAACAAGAGAGGAGCTGACCACAGTGTGTTCACGTCGTAATCGTAAAAACCACCGTGGCCGTTATGAATCAAACGCATATATAATAATAATATAACATTATTACTATTATTATATTGTGTACACCACACACGGCGATCGAGGTGGCTGAAAACCAGTTTAAACACATTTTTATTCACACAAACATAAGACCATGATTCTTTTTTTTAGCGACGCGTGCTCCGTTTTTTTCTGTGTACACACATTTATGACAGTAATATTGTAACAACGTTATGAATGACCGAATATTATTGTATAATATACGTTTGTTGGTTGTTGTTTTTTTTTTTTTTTTTGGACCGTCGGATAATGATCTCTGAAAATATAAATAATTGGGTCCGAAACGTCTCGTAATGAGTCGACGACCGCTGTTTTTGTCCGCTGTCCCGGTGTCGTTAAGTCGAAAAAACCCGACACGATAATAATAATTTTTAATTAATAGCCGCGTTTTGTACACGGTGTAAAAAGTCCACGAGTCCACGTCCAGGCCAATTTTTCATAACGCCAGGAGTGGCAAAACGCGGGTCGTTTAATCACGGCCAGAGCCGGCCGAGTGACGGTTCGTATCGGAGAGGTCTTTAGCACCTCAGCGAGAGTCCAATTATTGTGTAATTGCAAAGTAAAAAAAAAATAAAGAAAAATTACCCAAATCAAAGTACATTAAATATAATATTATGATTATGGATATCTAATTGCAAAACCTTTTTTGCACGAGGGAAAAACAAGAAGGCAGTAGATAATAATTAGGCAAGTAGGTGTTTAATAAACAACGAATATTGTTTCAACCGCCACACACAAGTACCATAACGATTATTATTTACTTATTCCAAACTATACGTTTTCGACTTCTAATCAATATTCGTTCGACGATTTCGCTTTTGATTTTCTAATCGAGCGACAACAAACTTTAAGAAACTTTGTTAGATATCTTATTTTCCTCTTCCCACACCAATTTGTTTTATCCCTCGCCGTTTTTTCGCGGTACGATTGTACACAAAACATCCACAAACGACTCTGCCCGAGTATTGTAACGATGCAGTTTTGTTTTTGGAAACAATTTTCGAGTTTACGTGTGACAAATATCGTTAAGCTTATAATGACAAACAAACAAACCAAAAAAAAAACCACCAACAACAAGCGCTAATGTTTAAATTATAAACGGCGGTAATGCGAAGGGACCAAAAAAAAAATGAATTAATACTTTCGAGTGTTAAATAAAAAATAAAAACAAGGTGAAATTTACACACAAAACCGAAACAAAGCCCGAAAGCAGATAATAATCGCCGGCGTTCGCTAATGTGTTGTACAACGGGGTTTATTTTTTTTTTTGGCCGTCGAACGAGCGGTAAAAATTAATACAAACAACCAGCGAAATGCGATTTAAAACATTACAATATATTATATTTATATGCAAATTTGACGGCGCCAAATAGCGAGTATTTTTTATTTATGCGGTGTTAAAACTGTTTACCGCTAAACTTATCGATAACGCACCGGCGTTCATCTGTTTATCTGTTGTGTATTGTTAACATACTTAAGCCGTGCACGAGCGAATCCGCTTACAAAGTGATCAATTCCTAAAATCCTAAGCCCCGCCATTTTCTGTGAAACAAATATGATTAGCAATTTTTGTAGTCGGTTTGCTGTATCCCAATAAAAGCGCCCTGAAAAACGTCAAGAGCGATTTTCGTCGAAAAGTATTTACTAAGTAAGTGAATAACACTTCACTCCGCCATTTTACTGCCGTCTTTAGCGTTTTCCTAACCGGAGGGGTTCGTACGGTTGAAGGATAGCTAAAGTTCGGGCTAACCGACGGCTGCTATAAAAGTAAATTCCAAACTTGGCTATCTTTTAAGGTACTAATAATATAACAGCTATTATAATACAGCAGCGACTGTACCGTGTGTAATAATATGTGTTTAGGCGTTTGAGTATACACACACACACCGAACTGCCGTTCCCGAGGGATGTAAATTAGTGTTCATACTCATTTTTCTCCCACGTGCACGTGCAAAATGAAAATAAACAAAATGTACATTTTTTAAAATTCCGTCTTGTCTCGTATTACACTGCGGCGAGGCCGTGAGTTATCGCGGGGCAATATTCAAATTACCCTCGAGGCGAGCACAATAATATAAAATGGGAAAAAGAAAAACCCAGCCCCTTACCCTCCCCCCCAAAAAAAAGGTGTAACGCCGAGGGTCTTTTATCGTCGTCGTCGTGCGGTTACTATTAGCAACGCCGGTAGTCTCCCGGTATAATATATATATTTTTTTTTTTTTTTTTAGTACTTATCCTCCTCTTGCCCATACACTACTACCGCCGCTGACGGATAATATAATATGGCTACCCCAACCGTCGTCTTAGCCTTTTTGCACCATACACACACACACAGAAATAATTTTGTGCTCGCCGTTTTTCCGCCCCGCCGTTTGAATTATTAACCCGGAGACGTCAGTCAATGTACAGGGTGATCCGGTTGTTTTTTTAGTTTTACATATTGTATCAAATAAAAGCAAAAAAAATACTTTATAATACCAGCAGACCCGAAT